ACTGTTGCCAGGCTAACTTCACCACAGCTGCCTGTAATGTGTGTTGGACTTCTAAGTTAGCAGCATAGAGAAGAATTACATTAGTTGTTTCAAGTTTGCGTTTTGTTCTTTTCCAGGAATTAGATGAACTACACACATTGTATACTAAAATGTTACCAGTATGAAATCCTGAGAATGTCACTGATTCTCATTCTGATACTGATGTTTTTCCCATAAATTCTGTGTGCTTCAAATCACAAGTTAAGTACAGCCAGGCCTTTATTTGTGTATGCATGGACAACTGAGTGTGGAATATTGAAATAAATGTTAACGACCGTGGTGGGGGTTTCCAGATCCATTGTGTGAGGCTCAACTTTGGTCACAGAGGCACTGTGGGGGCATCCATGTGCCATCCATGTGACCGCAGAGCACAGTCACTGCAAAGCACATGTGGATCTTGTAAGCAGGCTCAGAAATAGTATAACAACTACTCCTTCATGGTGTGCCTGTCTACAAGAAAGTACTAAGCAAAATTACTTATGAGAAAAAAAATATTTACATCCTTATGGTAATGTGTATAAAGATAATCAATGCAGGAAAATAGTCCCAATCACTGATAGACTGTATCATTATTAATACTGATACATGAGTAAAGCTTTCACCGTTGTAGCTATATTTGCGCTGGACTGCACTAACTGCTCATCATCAATCCAAAGTAACTGTAGTGGCACTGAAGTACAAAATGGCAATAAAATAAATATTCACATGAACGACAAGGAGTTTAAAGTACTTAAGTCAAAAGCCTACTGCCCCCAATCTCAACGTATATCAGGAATGCAAAGATGAACCTGATAGAGAGTGAAAGACATAAAATATAAACCTCACTTTGACGTAAAATCCAGGTTAAAAGCTGCAGTAATAAGATCTGAATCTGGTACCACTGCTACTTTTATACAACAGGAATGCCTTTGAGCAGCTATATGTGTGTACATCTCATAACCCCTGGGTCACACCTGTTACCTTGCTAAACCTTTGTCCCAGAGCAAGCTCAGGGGTCAAGGATCAAAGGTCATGGTGTCACATGACACATCCTTGACAGATTTGTTTCGGTCCAGTCATACTTATACCTTCTACCATCTGAGAAATGACCTTTTTTTAGGTTGCTGAATTTTCTGCAAAGCAAACACCTTCATAATAACACCAATTATCAGCATTATTTCTTGTAAACTGAAACAAAAACAAACACAGGTTCTAATGAAATGACAGACTAAGGGTGTGAGAATAACTTTCAATTCATGACGGGTTTTCTGCAGTTAAGCAAGGATGATGCATACTGCAAATCTCTAACACTGACTTAACCATGCAGTCCCACATAACGCACTTCAATAACCTCCAAGCAACACCACTAAAAGATCAAGTTGCCAGAAAATACTTGAGCTCAATTAAGTCCCACCCACACCAGAGGAAAACGACTTTGTATTGCATAAATGTGCCTCCGTGTCAATTCTGGCTGATAAATGCCTAAAAGATGCAGCAGAGTGGGATGCACTAACAAAATCGTACAGAACCTCGAGGTAGACAGAGGCAGAAAGAAATGAGCGATCAGCAGGAAGAATAAGAAAGCTGTGGGACTGTAAGCAAGTTATTTTCTTACTGCTCAGACATCTAAATTTTGTGCACACAGCTAATTGAGTTTAAAAATTCCAATCCTAAACCCATATGCTCCAACTGGACACAACATGGGCACTCCCATATTGATTTGCTGTTCGACTTTGTGTTTTCACTTAAATATGAAAAACCTCATTACGGTATAGGTAATATTGCAATTATGCAGCAGTGTATCGCAGGACGTGCTATGAAGTAACACCAGAGTAATGTAGCACCTGTGTAAGTAACAAGTAATGTGTAATAAACTGACTTTTTTCGAATAATATCCAACATTAGGCACCAGGCACCGACATCAATAAAGCTTCATCAATAAAGCTTCATCAATATAGCGACCTCGTCATGAGACTCAGATTAATCCATAACATATTTTACTTTAATGTGTTCAGCGCTGTCACGCTGCTCTCTACCAGAGTAATGATGTTTAAACACAAAGCTCATTAGCTCAAACTACAGTAATTTATGGAGAGCGAAATCCTGTTTGTATGTTTTCAATTTCATAAAACATTCAAAAAACAACACTGTAAACTTCCTATCCAGAGGGATAATATTACTGACCCCGTGAAATGAACAATCAGGCAGCACATACAGTGTGTGAATGTGTGTGTGAATGGGTGGATGACTGGATATGTAAAGCGCTTT